CAACCACCTATTCAAATGCAAATAATTGTACTAATTTAGATAGTGATCATTCCTCATCCTTCTATTTCCAAAGGACTTAGTAATTCAGTTCTTCAGATCCATCTATCTGGCGACAGTTAATGAATAGTCACACTAACTTAATAGTAGGTCAGTTGTATATATAGATGCACTCACAATACTACGAGCCAAGTTGGACCCAAGGAAGGATACATCGATTTTTCATAGAATCAGTGGCACACGTTACTGTCCTAGTTCTTTAACGGGGAGCTGGTGGACGTTAGCTGGTTATATTTCTAGATGTGGCAAGAATCAATATGGAACACTGAAGCGGAGGAGATGGGGTGCACAGCACGTTGTGAAGACCTTTACTTAATGAAGAGAAATGAGTTTTGTATAGCACCCAAATGTACTACAGTCGTTGGGATCCTTGTTCAGAACTGCAATTGGTATTGGAAGACAACTGGGGAAATGGCATCATTTTTGAGCTTGAGCACTTTTGATGGCTGGAGGGTGGAATTTGAAGAAGATTAAATGTGTGAAGCAGTTTGTCTTATCACATCCACATTATTATTATGAGCCATTTATGGCATGATGAGCACGGCTTCAGATTGCTTTAGTTTCCAGGACATTGAATGCCATCAATATTGTCCAAAGCAGTTATGCAGGGTTAGAATTGGTCCACAGCAACCAATGGTAGTTGTAAGAGGTGACTGAATGGAATTGGTGGTCAAACTCAGTGACGTGGTTGATGATGCGTGTCATTGTACCCTGAAGGTGTGAGTCGTTGTGCACAAAATCGATCGTCATCTGGATTGTCTGATCCAGCTGGAATATTATTGAGCGTGGCGTTAAACAACAAACAAACAATATTGAAGGAGTTAATATTTGATATACATGATATAAATGCATTTTGATATTGAAGAATATCCTATCAGAAATTGTTATGTCATGAAAATGTCTAATGTCATTTGTCTCAAGCAAAATCGCTGTGATAGGGCATGAATAGGCACACCTTCCTTTCTACGCTAGTTATACACTGACAAGGCAAAATAATGACAGATTGTCATTTTTGGAGTTAATATCGCTTCGTGCCATTTGTTATTCCCTTGAAAATGTTTCATTGTAATCTGTAAATTTTCCATGTTCCTCGTCAATCGTCTCGCAAAGCACCAATTTTGTTACTTTACCAGCCGTGTATTCTTTTACTTCTAATAGCGATCTCGAAGTTTTCAAGAATATTTATTGTTAAATTTGATTTTGTATATTATCATATCTATATGTATGATCGTGATCCTTAAGATTTTGCAAACATGAAACTACTTTTTTAGTCGCAAATGTGTCAGGTAGGGAGAATTTATGTTTCAAGGTTTTACATTTGTAATGAAATAAATAAATTTTCCAATAGACAACTACACCAAAAAGTATATAATTAAAAGGATATTCCATGTGTCGCGTGAAATATCTTGTTTCTCTCATCTCGATTCGCTATGTGGCTGAATAAATTTTAACTCACACACTCTCATCCCCTTGTGATGGGGGTGAACAGGAGATATTTTCACTCATGGCTTACACACTCAAAAATATCTCCTTTCCACCCGTTACTCGACGAGAGAAACATGATGTTTCACTCGACACATGAAATATCCTCTATATATCTTATAGTGGTCATGATCAATGTTTTTTATTCATAAGGCCTGCATGGTGCCCTGATCACTTGTGGAACTGATGTTATCAGTGTGTGTTATATATATAATTCACAATATAAACTACTAGAATGAGCCATTTCTGTCGTGAATAGGTACATCTTGCATGTAGCACACTAACTTGACATTGCTAGGGTATGTCATTTTTCAAATTGTAGTCATGATCTGTTTTATTTCTGTCAGTATACAAACTGGTGCACTGTGTAAGTATCATCAGGTGTTAACTAAGAACCTAAGTTCAGGGTATTGTCTCGGATCCATCACAAAATGCCCTCAAGTGAAAGTCATTCTGCTTTGTATGCAAACATATTTAAAGAATTTAATCAATGAATTCAAAGTACAGAGCAGATGATCATTGTGAAAGGACATTGGGTGCTTCCCATAGTTTAGGGCAAGCCGATCCCAGTTTGAAACAAACAGTACTCCAGCAGCCTGTTGTGTTTGCTTGTTGGAGCCATGAGTGTAGTGTACTGGATGTGTATTGACCCTATGTATCCTGTGTCTGTTGCAGGCTATTGATAGTGTATTACATGTAGTAGTTACTATGCTGAATTGGTATTCTGGTGGTATACAATTTCTATCTTGGGCTATTTGATCTGACAGGGTGTGTATTCGGTATTCTGGTCCAGTGAAGAGAATTAACATACTGCAATTTAGTGCGGTTTGGGTTTGGTTTAATTTGTTAATTCATCTTGAGTTTCATGCACTACTTACATGATGGACCACAATGCGTGCTTATTGTATTAAATTTAAGTGGTACTTGCTCTTCTTTGAAGTAATCTAAATTCCTTTTTTGAGAGAGATTTGATCTTTAGTACCATGTTATTAGCGATTATTCTGAATATTTTTCAATGAACATATTCATGGAAAAGTTGGGTTTAGAAGTCAAATGTCTTTATTGATGCATTTATTCAGAAATGTGTAATAAGCCTGAAATAGCGGTGCTTATTTAGACAAATACAATGCTGAATATTTGGCATAGTGTCTCGACTGTCAAATTATAGTTTAGTTAATGCAAGGACAGATTCCTTTGTCAAGGGGTTGCTTTCATAACCCTATGAATTAATGTTAAAAGTCTTGGATAAGGGATCCCTAGATTCAAAGACTGTTGCAGCAAACCAGACAACCCCCACCCCAAAATCCCTTAATTTCTAAAACTTTCTAAGTATTTAGTATCAGTAACTCTCTGTAATATATTAGCCTCTATTGGTATGATGGGGACAGACATGGCTATATGATCCTGTTGGATACAAGAACAGAACTGTAATATTTCCCTCAGTGCTGCATGCTTGTCATGGGTGGCTAATAGGGCTGTTCCGATTCACTTGCGTTTTCGGTGAATCGAACCGTAGACCTTCATAAATTGAATTCGTTATTCGTGGTCACTAGCATCGAATATGTACGATCTTTTGGTAAAGAGTGTTTTTTTACTCGTCATTTATTTATCAAAGCGAGATATGCAAAATGGAATATAAATAAGCCATGCAGTAGCGTAACTTGTGTCAGTTTGTCAAGGCCCCTAATGGTACTGTCAACCAAAACATGAGGCTATAGTATAAGCGGCATTGTTGCAATGTATTGCTTGTTTGCTTCACAAAAAATATCACAGAAATGTTTCCACCTAAACAATTACATACGTACATTTTTAATAAACTCAAGTTTTACTGACACAATGTTTTTCCCCCAGTGCAAAGTCAATACCAGCTGATTACCATGAGCACGTAACACCATAAGTTATTGTTATTGTATTCTTGAATAAATATTCGTATTCATTACCATATATATACATGATATGCATCATACTCGCCTCATAGTGTATTTGTTGCAGCCCTAGTGGCTAACAAAATAGTGTTTGGCATTTAAGAAATAGCTATGGTCTGTTTAATTGAAATCATTTAGGATGATTGTAAGAACCAAATGACCAAGAAAATGATCTTGCAAATGAATTTTCTATAATAAAACACAAACAATTTTGCTGCCTCTCTCAGCCCAGAGAAGGCTACTCAGTACTTGACGAAAAAAGTGGAAACATGTTGTCCTTTTTGAAAAAAAAGTGCTGAAGTAAGTATTTGTGTTTGCTTTTGTTAGGTGTCATCTAGTTTTACTGAATTTAACATTGAAAAAAATAATGATCGATTGATTGGGATGATCCAAGCATCGTTCATGATTTCCCAACAATTTCCCAACACTGTTAAGAAGGCATGCAGAGTAAGTACCGGTAGATAGATTAACAGTGACGGACTAGGGAAGAATTCATTGGTCCTATGAAACTTGTCCAGTGCGCATTTGTACTAGTAGTTCTGTAAAGCCACAAGAGCATTCGAGAAAACAACCAACCATGCTCACCCCAGTAGACTGGTTTCACCGGTCTCAGACTGCCGGCCTAGCTGCCTAACCCTGGGGTGACCAAACTACAGTTATGGCCTGTCTGTGTGATTACTCCCTGATGTTGTGTATCAGTAGCCAGAAATGTTTGTTTGTTTCTTTGTTGTTTAACACCGCACTCCGCAATATTCTAGCTATATGACAGCGGTCTGTAAATAAGAGCGTCTGGACCAGACAATCCAGTGATTGACATCATGAGCATCGATCCACGCAATTGGGATTGATGACATGCATCAACCAAGTCAGCGAGTCTGACCACCTGGAGTTAGTCGCCTCTTACGACAAGCATTGTCGCCTTTTACGGCAAGTATGGGTTGCTGAAGACCTATTCTACCCCGGACCTTCACGGGTAACATCCATGACACACAATATGTCGTGATTCAGTAATACGCGAACATTATTCCTCATTATGAATAATTCATACACTATCTGAACATTATCAATTTGTGATAGGATATCGTTTGGCTGGTAGCATGTCCTGTCTCTGCTGGTTTATTGACGTATGTAAATGATATCTGTAGACTGGTAGCGTACCTTTTCTAGGCTTGTGTACAGCTATTTACGTATGCAAATGATACTGAAATTGTCACAGTTAGCACACTTCTGATTAAGCAAGGCATGATACAATACTAATTAACTTAAATATATGTATTACTCCATGACATGTTGGAACAGGAACGTTTGCAAGTCTGGAATCTGCAGGTGGTGTATCACTATCAGTGCAATGTCTTCATTAGCACCCACCTCCTAAAGTGTATCCAAATAGAACTCCACCTCCTGGAGTAACATGTAGCAGGTTTTACCTTGAGCTACAAAACTGAGGGTCCAGAGGACCCCAAGTTCTGATTTCAAGGGTCCTCACAGGAAAAATGTGGGTCCTGTAAAGTAAGGAAATGGTCTACTGAACTATACTTTAAGATTTAATAATTCCTTTAATTACAGGAACTTTATATTTTTTGTCAAGAATTTGGTACAGTCAATATTATTGTGCGTCCCTCGAGACACTATATATATTTTTGCTGCGTTCAGTCTACACATTCGTGCGTATCGGACGCGCACTTCTGTGTCATGTAAAACGTTGCTATAGTCCCTGAAATGAAAGTATTTTGAGGATTCCTTTTTGACTTGTTTTTCAATATTTCATAGAATGGAGCCTTGGGAATTTCTTCAATTTCAGAAACTGATGAATCTATACTTGCCAAGGAGTTGTATAGACTTGCTTAGGAATTTTGATTGGATCTGAATGACAGTACCTCCTTTGGACCCTGTCTGACTAACCTCTGGAGACTAGACGGGATCCAAATTGTCACCTCCGGCAAATATGATTCGAGTCATTCAAATAGCATATTGGTTTGTCTGCTGACTCAATGATTACCCAAAGTACACACTGACAATGTCTCCGTTCACGCCAGTTGTTTATTTCATCTAGATCTAGACTTGAAATGGGCTCCAGACTCAGTGCAAAGTCCCTCTTTTAACATCTTGTCTGTTAATTATGGTATGACGTGTTGATTGGATTTTTTTATTCACAGGTGTTATAGCTCTCAATGTCTGTTAATTCCAGTTGAGGGTAACCGTGGGAACATTTCTTTTTGAATTTGAGCATCATCAACGGAAATGTTGTGTGGTATGGTCGCAACTGTCAAGCAGGTATTTCATAGAGATGTGTTCATGTCAGATTATCCTTTTTATTGCAGAAATGTTAGCTTGAAGAGAGTATCATGTATTGGTGTTACAACACTTATTTGTCCTCCCCGTCAGGATTCTTGACATGATACTCATCGGGACACGACACAATAACATGATACTTGGAGAGGAACAATGTGTTTAGCTAGCATCTTCGGGGTCACTTGAAGCAAGATTGTCCAGTTTGCATTCTAGCTGCTGCAGATGTCTTGTGTTTCTTTCATTCTTCGGACTCATGAAAGCTGAAACTAGAAGTATGATAGAGTTATTTTTTGTTTTAGTAGATGTGTGTTGAGGTGATTCTGTTCAAGTGTTTGCATGGAAACATGATATTTTTGTCCTGATATATGTACAGATATATTGAAAAAATAGCAGATGCCACATTAAATTTTAAAACATTCACTCACTGTTAAGATATATGTGTGTGTGTGTGTGTGTGTGTGTGTGTGTGTGTGTGTGTGTGTGTGTGTGTGTGTGTGTGTGTGTGTGTGTGTGTGTGTGTGTGTGTATATATATATATATATATACTGGTAGTCATGGTAATATGTCATGATGAAGCTCTAATATGTCATGTATACATAGGAGAACTCAAACATAATAACTACCAGCCTACTAAGCCAGGAAGGTGCATGTCCTATAGACTAACACTTAGTCTCTGAAAATTTATAATTTTGTAAGGAATAAGTAACTACATTTATATTGAAAAGGAACCCTAGTATTATGGGAGATTTTGAAAAAGTAAATCAGTTGACCCGCTAAAAAAACATCATGTCTGTTGTACGAAACTCATGGAACTACAGCTTCTAAATGACTAATGTCTGACAACAAAGTTTGACACAAAAAACCTGAACCAGCTCAGTCAGTGAAATAATCATTGTGTTTTACATATGAACCTCATGGTGTATAGGCTTCCATGTGTTTGAATAAGTTAGGACATCCAGTCAGGTCACGATTTAGTCAGTGAAATACTTATATTTACTAAATATGCTTCATAAGAAGCCTTCTCCAAGCAGTGACTTATAAACAGATGTAGCTAGACTTGCCTATTGAAGATTACTGACTGCATACAAGGCCTTGTACGTACATATATTTCACACACATGGAGCATGACTTAGGCCCTTGTCTGACTATCTTCTTGCCTCACCCTGTGTTTGTTAATTACGAGTTAACAGATGCAAATGTTAGAAAAGATTTGTGACCGCTGGTGAAGATTTTGGTCCAACCAGCGATGGATATGTGATATGTTTACTCTGTAACCCATCCTGAGTTATGTTTCTTGCAGATGATAACACCCTGAACCTGAGGAAAATGTACACTTGCTTCATTTAGGTCTCTATCGCTATGGTAAAAGCCAGGCTAAAGGGAAAATAGTATGGTTCAGTGATTGTGTGACAGACTATGTGGCCGATTGTGTTTGTGGACAGAGAGGGCATTAGGACACATTGACAGTGGGGCATATAAGTGGTGTGAGTACCTGTTAGAAGATTCTGAATTATTGATGAAGCGCTGTAGACACAGATGTTGCTTTCGTCACTATGCTGTACAGGGAGCCACTGTGTCTGCCTCTGTCCTCTAGTCAGGGCAAAATAGAATATACTACTAGCATGAATAATGCCATTGCTTTAACTTGAAGATGGACACAATCTACTTGACATCATAAGAAAATACAACCATAATCATAGGAGGAAACTATCAAAACATTTCAGAAATAGACTTACATCCATTGACCCAATTATAACTATGACATAATTATTTTTGAGTGAATATTGTTTAATGCCTGAGTCAGCAGTATTCCAGCTGTTGCATGGTGACCTTTCAATAATCATTCAGGGTATCGCAGGTTTGAGTATAAAATTTAAGTACAGAAATCTGATAACACTAAACAGACAAAATTTCAAGGACTGTCTCGTGGTAGTAAATGTGCTTGTGTAGTGAAATACATCATTTAAGAGTTATGCTATTGGACATGTTAAATATAGTGTTGTACTATTTACATGCACATGAGGAAGGATACTGAGAAAGAATACTGTAAATGGATGATTTTCTGTTCTCATTTATCATATTATTTTTCAAACTAATGATCAGTCTTTAAATTTATCAATTCTCAACACTACCACTATATATGTTTCCTTCTTTGGGTATAGGTTATTGTTTGGTGCCCATTTCTGGTGTCCCCCGCCGTGATTTTGCTGGAATATTGCTAAAAGCAGCGTAAAATCAAACTCACTCACTTATTGGTTGGTATTGTAACTTCATTACATCATGTACTAATAGCATGATGCAGTATTTTCAAATCATATACTGATATTCCGGGTACTATTGATTTTTAACACAGTCAAATGACAAATATTCAGGCCATTTAAATGTAGCCGGGTTAGAAAATAAGTCCACAGAAATGATGAGTCTGCTACAGAGTTGCCATCTATGTGATGGTAAAGTGGAAGCCCACAAAGAAATGTCATTTGTCCATCTTGATCTTTACTGGTCTCGGACTCGTGGAATTATGTTAATTTTCAATCCTGTGTTGTCATTTGAACTTGAAGAGAATGATGAGGAGAGTATTTTGATGAGAGATTGTCCAATTTTACTTGTGTTCCTTATCTGAACACCATGTTTGAGTTCTCATCAGATGAGGTGTATATAAATATCATGTAGTGGAGTGTTTATGTACATTCACACTTGTCAAGACAGCTACTGGCATGGGCAGTTTGTGCCCCGTCATGTAACATCAACACGTGAATAAATACCAGCATCCCTCAGTAAACACACACAAATGTACATGAATCTCACCTCTGGCTATACACCTGCACCTGCTGTACCATTACGTAGACTCAGTGTGGACTGTTCCGGCTAGGTTTGAATCAGATTCCTGGTTTATATACTTTTGCTGAGTCTTATGCAAATAATCAAGGTTATATACAGGTGTACTCAGACATGTTAAGATGTTGTATGTTGTATTTAAAAAGAATTTAACACTGCAGGTGTTTGTACATTGCTGTGTGTCAAGACTTCAGCTTTGGAAATGTTGTAGTCCTGATGGTGTTTCATGCCACCTGGTCTTGAAAATGAAGGTTCAGGATTTTACCAAATGCAAAATGTTTTATCCTATATGCATTCAAGTTGAGAATGGATGGAAAAATATTAAATTGCGAGTCCTGTGAGATTCTAATCAAAATTGCTTGAATCATTAATTTTATAAAACTTGTAGACTGCGTGTTACATATAACTGACAATTCCGTTCTGGATAGAAAGACACTCAATGTTCAGGGTGTCTGATTTTCTTCAATCTAACGTTGAAATCCCCATAACTGGCTTCTGAGCATGTGCACTGATATGACTTCAATAGCATTTTAGGAAATCAAGCAAAGTGTGCTTCAAGTTACCAGTCTGTGACCCACAAAATGTACTGCATACCAGGCGTTCCTTTGACTTGAGATTGAGATAGACCCTGGTAAATCCCTGATAAGTGGTTGTTTTGACATTGAAATTGCATGTAAAATGCCATCACTGAGATTGGTTATGGAACATGGAATTAGAATATCACTATGTAAGATTTAATTAACATTATTAAAGATGAATAAGACTATAGTGGAATGAGACAACTTTCAGACTTTATTCAGATAAGAAATTGTTAAAATGTACATAAATATGAAAGGTCACCCAAAAAACTATATAAAAAAACCCATATAAATGCTGGTCGCAGGAAGCAGCTAAAACCAAGATCGAGTGGTCACTCAGTAACTTTGTTAATGGCGTGTAATGGTAGCCCTCATAATATCAATCACTGGATTCTCTAGTCCAGACTTGATTATTTTCTGGCCGCTGTTAATGATATCATTATAGGCTGAGTGTGGCACTATACAACAAACAAACAGACCTTCTTGTCTAGAGAACATGGCTGCAGTAAGTAGCTCTTGCAGTCAAAACCTCTGTTAACATGTTAATACATTGCTTCAGGTGTTATGTGTGATCATTTTGGGAGTTACCATTTTGTTAGTTGATGGTGCTGATGGTAAACTGATAGTAAACTGATAGATTCTGATAAGACCCTCTGGCCATCTTCAGGGCCATACAGGCTAGGTTGTATATCGACGCTTGACATTTTGTTATTCTAACAGTTTACATCAGCTTCATCAGTTGGGGTGTGCCATGGGTCCGTGACCTTCACAGCATAATGTAGAAGAATAAATTGACATTTGAGTTGTTAATTGGTTTGTCTGTTTGGAATCATGAAGATATGTGCTTGGTCTGTTTTCTCACTCCATTTTACATTTCCAAAGGAGTGGTGGTGCAACAAAACTGTTTTCAGAAAAAAAAATGATTGTCCTTTTCTTTTTTCTCATTTGTCATTTGATTACCTGTGTTACAAAACCATGTTACTTGTGAGAAATATCAGTTTCTCTTGTAGTAACCCAGGATGATTCGTAAGTTCGAATAGGTCCTTAGCAATGGCTGTAGGAGGCGACTTAATGGATTGGGTGGTCAGACTTGGTGACTTGTTGATGGCAGGGCAACTTGCCCAACGGTGTGGATCGTTGTTCAGAATATTGATCGCTGGATTGTCTGGTCCAGACTTGATTATTTACAGGCTGTCATCATATTGCTGGAATATTGCTAAGTGTGGCATTATACAACAAACATGCACACACTCTTGGTTATAATTGTCTATGCCAGAATGCTGTATATCAGTTACTCAGTTGGCCTGGCAGCAAGTGCAATTGATTGTCAAGTGTCAGTTTGCTACCATATTTTACAGGTAACACAATATATCATTCTCTGAACCATGTTAAATAACCTTGCATTTGTTTGCTACTTTTTCAACAAAGTTTGCGATTGCTTTTCACTTTGATCTCTATGAAAGCATCAGTCTGAACATTTATCTGTTTGAAAATGCCAAACGTTGAATAGAAGATATTTCACTTTTTCATTTCCTCATGTTCATTGAGTTGATAGGCGAAAAATGGAAGTGAGAACAATATGAGCTTTTGAGTTTCCATGTGTGTCATCAAGACCATGTCATCTGCAGGCACTGATCAAACATCTTAAAATTGACGCTACCTTTACTTGTCAAAGGAGTTGAAGCTCATGTGAATAGGATGTTCTTTTAGATAATATATGTTCATATAAATACTGTTGTAAGGAGACAAAAAAGAAACATCAGAACATTTCAATTGTTAAGCCTGCAATATGCAGAAGGTCGGTAACCATTTAAGAGCACTCAGATAATGGTATTAATGATTTGGTTTTTTATCATTGGATCGTGTTTGAATGTGAGTATTTGTTTTCAACGACTGTTATCAGACAATGCAGCTATGACAGAGGGAAATACATACATTCCAGTGCCATTCCAGTGACTTTACAAACAATTTCTCTTGATGATAACTTCTTATTTACCTTGTTGCATTTCAGCGCAGATACTAACACAAATGCAAAGGCAGCTCTATCAAAAATGTGAGATGGGTACAGCAAGCAATTTTAGTTGTATCATTTGAATATATACAGCGATATACTATATTTCTATTCGAATAGAAAAAATAGTGATTTGAACTTATTTCGTAGATTTGTGTAACATGTATTCCCTTGTCTTGCAGAGTTCGGCCCCAGAATGCCAAGGAGCGGATCGACATCTGCCAGGTGTGCACCACCGTGCCCAGTAACGAGCCACAGGTACTGCTGGGGAAGGACAAGTCCTTCACCTTCGACCATGTGTACGACATGGGCACGGTGCAGGAGACCATCTACGACACCTGTGTCAGGCACCTCATTGATGGGTAGGAATCTTCTTTTTTTACTTCAACAAGAGTTCCTAAGCCTTCCTATTCCAGCACTCAATAAAACAGTGAAATTTGTCATTTAATGACTTGAGAAGTCCAGTGATTGACAAATATGCTAGGCCACTCGGCAAGTTACAGTAGACGTTAAATCAGCACCAGTAATTTTCAAAATATGGTCGGACTGATAAGTGGAAAATGTAATAAGGGTTATATGCAGTACAAATGTGTTGAAATTAGCAAATAAGAAGCTGTAGTTTTGCAATTTTTTATCAAGACTTCTGTTGGACCAATGACTTGTTTTGGCATTGGTCCTGTTGGCTGCCTGAAAAAGATCTCTTTTTTTGGAGCCCTTGAAGTCGAGGGTTTCGTTCAGACTATGCCTGAAATTTCTGTTGTTGGAAGATTCATGTGCCTAAGAATGATTTTAAACTCTTTACACTTAATCATGATTCAGAGCATCAAGTTGTTTTGAAAATCTATCGGTCTGAAACCTAGTTGCTGTGTAAAAGATGTGACTGGTTTCAGAATAATACAACCACCAGGAAAATCATAGAGATCAGAAATGGAGATAATCTTGTATACCATGTAGTTATTTTTGTTCTCATCAAATCCACAGTTGATAAAGATGCATTTTAACATAACCATATGATAAAGAAGAAGTACAATATTTTTTAAAGAAAAGTCTAGGAAACTGAGTTACAATTCCCCATTGTCTTGTGCTCTTCGGTGAGTCACTCAACTATCATGCCCATAGTATCTTTAGTTCTGTTGTTTCCTGGAAATGCCTGTGTTGTTCCCTGCGTATGTACTGAGATTGTTTATCACCAGTCTGATGGCAGTTAATTGCTTTGTTGTGGATGTGTGACATCTCTATCCCATCTCTATCCCAGGATCGGTTAACAAGACCACCCAAGGAGGTTCATATTGTTTGATAGCGTCTTTAATTTGTTACACTATCGTACTATAGGAGGATGCAACCTTATCTTATGTCTCGTACATTATCTTCTAAAAGAAATTGGAAAAACGTCAAAACTTTGGAGATTTTTACTGTTGTTACCAGATGCTTTCAGTACTTTCAAGAGATGTTTTGAACTGGATTTTGTTACGGTATTTGTAATACAAGATACAACTTGTGTAATAAAATACCAGTTGAACTAGTATTGATGACAATATTTTTTTATTTCTGAAATTTTTGTGTGAATGGGATGATCATGACCTCTCTTTCGTCATGGTCTACAATCCATAAAATCTTTGAGAAATGTTTCTTCTGTAACATTCTTCCTCTCCTTACCTCTCAATACATACTATGGACTTCTTAAATGTTTAGAATACTTTGCAATGTCAGTATCTGTGGCAAGAAAGCAGAGCTCCAGATAAGCTTTTGGTGTTGTGGGTATTTTACCCATGCATTTTAAAATCACTGCGTATCAGCTATTCTATCTGGGTATTCAAATTTCTGTTACCCACTAGTTTTTACACATGTGGATATTAAGTTAAATATTTAAAAACACTATTCATCTGGTCCCTGCAAAGTGGTGTTGTGTGGGTTCGAGAGCTTTATAGGACTCATAAATACCACGATACTTCCACAAGAAAGTGTGATGGCAAATGATCATGATGTAACTGTCATCGTGGAGTTTGGCAAGGTTGACGGAATGCCCGTTTATAATTTCAAAATAAGTTGCTGATTTGCCAATCGAAAACGCAGGGTTACTTCACAATATTTTGAATATACGCACAAGTTTTATTTTTGTAGCGTATCTGTAATGTTCGTTGCGTATTTGATACGCTTGGATATTATTTTACTGCGTATTTCTGCATTTCTGATGCATATTTTACGCAGATACGCAGCTTATCTGGATCTCTGAGAAAGGTTTACATGCATTATTGTGTACAGTTGAAAGTTAGTGTAGCTGTTATTATGTACTTAAACATAGCCATAATTGAATGGGTATTTCTTCAATAATGTATGAATACAAAACAGAATCAGTGTAATTTGCCCTGTCTCCCAAATACCTGGTTTCGTCAAGGTTTGCTTTATAGTCTTTGTTGAAGTTTGTCAAATTAGGGTGAGCCAGTAAGCATGAGATCTATTATTTTCATTATCTAGCTGACCATGAAATTGACCATGTTGTTGTCTGCAGTCACTCGGGTGAGTTTGGATGATGTGAATCACATCAATTCAAGCCCCATGTACACCGGTTATTTAACAAAACTGGCCAGGGCGTGTGTATCTTTTTGTAGATAAGGCAAGGTTGAGTGGTCATGTGCTGGAACCCTTGTTATTAAAGTTTCTCGGGTCAGTGGTTTTGTGAGACCTTGGAACCAAGAAGTAGCAATGTGTGACCTATTATCTTGATTTGGCTTTAGAGTGTCAACCTTGTTATTGTCAGCACTGACCCTACACTACAGATTGATATACACCTGTGGATATTGGTAACAAATGAGACAAGGAGATTTGCACAACTTAAGTTGTAACACTTGTGCAAGCTTGAGTTACTAAAATATAATGCAGGAAACAAAAATCGTTCCATATTCATGAGAAACTTCTGCTGAAAGCAGAGTCGTTTGTACGATTCCGATAATATCATGATCATGTGTTTGTGAACCACGATCAATTAGTGATGATACCAGGTGTTTGCAATAGCACTCCCTTCTTAATCCTGTTTGAATCCAATAAATTCCTATGATATGAATTGTCTCTAAGATCAGCACAAGATTTTTGGTACATATTTTAACCACCAATTTCCAAACATTTTGCTTATTAATATTTTCATCTCAGGATGTAGTGTGATCTTTAACAGTGGGCACGCCCACACATCTCACCATTAAGGTGACCCACCTGTGACATTACAGGTGTTACCTGACAGAATCGAGATCATAATTATTTCAGACTTGCTTCCCTGACAGCATGGGTAGTGTCCTATGTCATCACATACAACTACAGACAGTGGTTAACATACAGGCCTTGTGTTTTGCCCGTGGTCACCTGTCTGAGCCTCTGTGTTGACCACTTCAACATACATTGTCCACTTGAACCAGCCTGACCCTGGGTCAGCGTTCTGCTATCATGTACAGTAAATGATCGACCATATCCAGTTACAGATACCTTAGTGAAGGAGCTTTTGATAGGGATGTCTAGGGTCAGGTAACAGGTCACTGACCAGACATCAGGTAATCTATACGTCTTGGGTCATCTGCTGACCACTGTGTACTACAGATACAAAGAGGCTCTTGTGTGCTGTGTTTGTCTATGGTTGACCACAACCAGGTCCAGCTTCCTTGTGTATAGGTGTGTCTTCCACTGCCATTTGAAGACCTGGAATGTCTTTGTTTTGATCCTACAGTAATTAAATGATTGAAATATCAGGCGTTCAAAGTGAACATGTGTATGTTCATATATCCTGTATATGGGTCATTCTCAAAAAAAGTGAGTTTTTTAGTCCGAGTTGAATAACAATTAAAATATTTATTTTAGATATGTTTAAACACAAGTGTTTTTCGTAGAACATACCATGGTGTCTGAAAGTTAAGTTTCAGTATTTCTTATTAGGTATTTTATTTTAATTAAAACTGCTTAATTGCGGTTAAATTGAGCTGAAGGGTGTGTCCGTAACCCTATGTTTGCACATCAACATTGTTTAATGTGGCTAAAAATAAAAAATATTATGTAAATAATGTTTATATATTGTACATTACCTTTCTAACTCATGATATAAACTTATCTTTTGAAGATACACTCTTTTATTTATATTGGTTTTTGGTAAGAAACACTTGTACATAAAAAAGTGTCTGTCCTGTTACCAGGATGGATCAAAACTGAAAAATAAATAATCCTTCAAGATTCCCATAATTCAAAATAACAGAAATACAGCTTACTTCCTGTACTATCATGGCAGCAGTGTCCTTCAAGTGAGAGAAGACTTTGGATAATTCTGCTTGACAGGGAAGTTTAGTGCTATCATGAATACTCTTTTCTTATGTCTGTGCTGTTACTGCTCATTTTTGCCAAAACAAATATTTTTTTCTAAAACCATTTTTTCAGAATATTAGAAAATATGAACTGTTCACAATGCCATGTGGTCTCAACATTTCAAGGGAGGTCTCATTAAAAAAAACTGTTATTAATGTCAATTTGTCTATGCTGTTACTGTCTGTGCTGTTACCTTCAAACATGTAAACAGGACAGACATTCCGTGGTAACAGCACAGACTTATCATCATCTTAAACTGTCTTTCCTTGTTTAACCAATCAATAATATAATTACCATAATAACTCAAATAATTCCTTTTGAAATAACACAGACATTCAAGAGGCTATGGTTGTACAAATCTTCCAAGCTGAATAAAAACAAGTTGCTCAAGACTTAAAAGTAACAGCAGAGACAAATATTGGTAACAGCACAGACATTTGGTCAGCTTTATCTAACTATTCTTGTCCAATCACTCAATATTTAAATTTTATGAAACATTAAGACATATGTTTTCAAATTTATCACAGTTTAGAAGAAAACATATACATAAAAAATAGACTACTTTGTTGAAGATAGTTATCTGATGAAAAAGTAACAGCACAGACATTCCGTGGTAACAGCACAGACTTATCATCACCTTAAACTGTCTTTCCTAGTATAACCAATCAATAATATAATTACCATATTAACACAAATAATTCTTTTGTAATAACACAGGCATTCAAGAGGCTATGGCTGAACAAATCTTCCAAGCTAAATAAAAAAAATTGGTTAAGACTTAAAAGTAACAGCACAGACATTTGGTCATCTTTATCTAACGTTTCTTATCCAATCACTAAATATTCTAATTTTATGAAACATTAAGAGATATGTTTTCAAATTTATCACAGTTTAGAAGAAAACATATATACATAAAAAAATAGACTACTTTGTTGAAGATAGTTATCTGATGAAAAAACAACAGAAGGGTGGAGAAGACAGGTGGTGTGGTGGAAAAGGGTGAGGTTGTGAAAAGTGTGGAGAGGACAGATGGTGTGTTGGAGAAGGGTGAGGTTGAGAAAAAGGTGGAGAGGACAGGTGGTGTGGTGGAGAAGGGTGAGGTTGAGAAAAAGGTGGAGAGGACAGGTGGTGTGGTGGAGAAGGGTGAGGTTGAGAAAAAGGTGGAGAGGACAGGTGGTGTGGTGGAGAAGGGTGAGGTTGAGAAAAAGGTGGAGAGGACAGGTGGTGTGGTGGAGAAGGGTGAGGTTGAGAAAAAGGTGGAGAGGACAGGTGGTGTGGTGAAGAAGGGTGAGGTTGAGAAAAAGGTGGAGAGGACAGGTGGTGTGGTGGAGAAGGGTGAGGTTGAGAAAAGTGAGAGTGACATTTTACTATCCGTTCCAGATGATACAGAAGAGTGTCTTGGAAAATGTGTGGTTGTGTTATATGATGGTTTTCCATATCCTGGATACATAGATGTTTCTACCTATGATATATATGTCGAATGCATGCACAAGCCTGGCAAAAAATGAGATCAAAAATGATTCTTTTGGCCAAGACTCCTGCTGGACAAATGCTGGTACAAGCACGAGGACATTATTACCATCATTCCTGAACGAAAGAAGATTGAAGGCACTGCTTCCCACTTCAGTGTTGAAAACATTTACTGGGAAGCTATTACAGATATGATAAAACAGAAACAATAAACAACCTGTGGTTTCTGGGTGAATGAAAGGCACCATTTAATTCTGGCACTAATCAAATAAACATAGATACAAATGAATTTTACCTTTAAGTAAACTATAATTCACCTTTTCAGACCGTTTATTTGAGTATTTGTGAATACAATTGCAAAAGAATACAGCTTCAACAGGAAATCTTCTGACAAGTTTTTTTTCTCCAGATTATGTTGATGTTTGACATGGATAAAGTTGGTTATTGTGTTGTTGCTTCATGACAAAAACTGTCACATGACTATTTAGTGTAAGTTTAAATCAATTTAAATTCTTTGTAATTCTAGGGATTAACCCAAAATGCAAAAGTTATTGTCTTTGGCGTTACTTCCGTCTGTGCTGTTACCTACCAGTATCCTACATTCACATTACATAGAAGAACATTCAGTTAATAACATCCATATGATCAGATACTGTTAATTAAGCAAAACATTTTCTTATTTGTCAGAGTTCAAAACTTTGAACTTCTGAACAGGATAGTTGACTGCAAACATAAGTTTGTCCGTCCTGTTACTTTCAATTGTCCGTCCTGTTACCGACCGTTTTCTATAGTTCAGATTACATACAAGAATATTCAGTTAATTACACCTTATATGTTCAGGTGTAATCAATTGCACATACTTTTTTCGTATTTGTCAGATATTTCAAAATCTTGAAACTCCTGAACATTATAGTTATCTGCAATCAAAGCCGATTGTCCGTCCTGTTACTTTCAATTGTCCGTCCTGTTACTACGTTGTCTGTCCTGTTACCAGCACTTAAAATAGAAATATACTGATTATTTATTTTTATTTTTCAGAAGAACATATTTGAATTCAAACATATATCATCTAATGAAGCATATGTGTCAAATATATGATGCAATAATCAGGGTATGTTTGTCATATTGGATTTGAATGAATTCAAATGTTTTCATTTGACTCAAATGCTGGACAAATCTGTCCATAAAATAATGTATCCAATCTCTTTTTAATTGTACTCATTGAAATATTAAACAATACATTTAAAAACAAGAACTGACATGATTTGTGTTGAACTTTGAAAAATATTGTTACAGAAAATATAATTGTTAACATGGTAACAGGACAGACATATTTTTCCTATTCAGTGTTAATTAATTATCATAATTAGGACATCATTGATTATTAAGGTGTCATTTTGCTTAACATTATTATTCAGAAGTTACTTTGTGTACTGAGTCTATAAAAAAGGAATTTTACAAAAGACAATTTTGATGTTTTTGCTTAGTTGAAATTCTGACATTTTTTGAGAATGACCCATATAAGAAGTCAAATAATAATAAAATGATAATTGTTGGACATATTGAAGATAGTCTGGTGACATGGAAATTACATTGATAACATAATGTATGTGAATCACATTTACATTGGAAAGTACATGTTCAGATGAATTGTTCATTAACAAAAGAGTCATATAAATTTTAATATCAAAATGGTCATAGCAGGTTCAATATCCAACCATTTTGGATTTCTTACAAAAACTTGTTTACTGTTGATAGAATAATCATGAAGGAAGCTTTTGGTGTTTGCATATTCAAATCAGTTTGGCTTAATTTCTTATTGATTCCCTGAGAAATACTGTCCATTTACCTGCACACATATTATTAGTCTATGATTTTCGCAATATGATTGGAAATTTGGTCAGTATTTGACTTGAGCATGCTCCTTATAATGCAGAAAGCCTGTTTAATTTTGTGAATCGCCGTTATTGTGTCTTCCATTGCAGTATGGATCACTATATGTTGCAGGAGACTTTATACTCCTTGTGACAGTTTCCCGTGTCAGGACTGTGTAATTTACCCAGGTAATCATAAATATGTCTGTAATGTCTGTAAAGGTTTTTTTTGTTTTTTTCAGATGCTTTGATGGCTACAATGCCACAGTGTTCGCTTATGGACAGGTATGTACGACAAAGATATAACAGGAAATAAATGTCAGTTAGTGAGATGTAAGTGATCCACAAGGAAATGGATTCCGCCCTTGTCATTCTTGTTGCTAGGATACATAAAATTACAACCATCCAACATGTCCTGTTTGATTGTCACTGTCACTGACCTGCATGAAATGTGATGCGTATATAAATGTACTACTCAAAGCAAGTAAAAGAAAGCCAGATTTCTTTCACATGAATAGTTAAACTGTCATGTCATGCTCTTTAATGTCTTTTGAGAAGAAGATATTTAAGAAATAAACGACGAGTGGATGTTGTTAATCGTACAATAAAACACTGCAGGGAGAATAAACCATAAGGGGTGCACGAGTCGTTTTTTTCTTATATAAGAGATATCAACTTTTTGTACAGCCTCTTACAGGATGTTAATAAAATGAACAAGCTTTAAAACTATCAACCTATATTTAAATAATGATATCCCTGAATACAATCCAACCTAAGTAAGGTCGGAGAAGTCCTTTTTTACATGTTATTAATGAACAGGGGGGTTACGTTTGGTATCTCGCAGATATTCTTACAATTTCCACGTTGATTATCCGAACCTTTTCTCTCAATACCAATTGCCATATCTCTTCAAATTTTGAATGCGATTGTTCAGCAATTGCATTTGTCTGCATTGCCCAACTTCATATATGGGGAGACCCGAGAAGATCCAGGGTAGAATAGGTCTTCAGCAACCCATTGCTTACCGTAAATGACAACTGTGCTTGTCATAAGAGTCAACAATCGGGATCAGGTGGTCAGGCTCGCTGATTCGGTTGATGCATGTCATCGTATCCCGATTGCGTTGATCGATGCTTATGAGGTCAATCACTGGATTGTCTGGCCCAGATTCGATTACATGTATAAACAGACCGCCGTCATAAAGCTGAAACAATACTGAGTTTGGCGTTAAACAACAAACAAACAAACATCTATGGAGAACAACTCAACAGACATTTCCCTCTCAAAAAAGATATATATATATATTCAGGAATAGGACCATAAATAGGTCAGCATTCATCTTATGGACTGCAGACCAACTTTCAGCAGTCAACATCAAAACGGCAGTTATTGTTTTTTCTAAACAAATTAACAACAGTAGTATCAGCTGAAGGAAATATGAGGTCAAATATCCTGCATTTTGTCGGAAACATGCATGTGTATGACACAGCTGTTTTCTTGTGAGCATCTATGGATATATTGTAATGGTAATAAGAAGGCAAGCTTCCTGTAGCGAGAAGCAGTGTGGCCACAATGTATTGATTCAGGACAGTAATGGTTATACAATGAGGCTGAAAATTGCAGACCCATGCTTTTGTTGCCCAGGAGAATGGCTTCTGTTTGGCAAGTTCCTCCACAGAGTCGCATACATATATGCCTGAGTTATTGCTCTCTAGGGGAGGAGATTTGGTGGATGTTGAATAAAAGCGTTAGAAGTACATTGTGGGTCAGGCTCTATATCTATTTAAAATTATATTTTGAAGCGGAAATATGTTGGGAGAATATTGTGTCTATCATGTTGGGAGAAGATGGAAAATGTCATCCATTAATATTTTGATTGACATTTGGAGGGTTTACTGTTTAGTGAATATTTTTGGGTTGATGTTTCTGGTTGAATCAGTGCATATTTTCTCTTATGAATAAGTCTTTGTTTGTTAATGCTAAAATTATGCCTCCCATATTTTATTACTATGAATGACTTATTAATGTTGGGAAGTTGAGCCTCTTTTGAATGATTTGGTTATACACGTAGTCATTTAAAAACATGTTTGTCTTGAACTTTGTCACTGCATTAACAATGAACTAGGGATGTTAAAGATCAGTCGCCACTAATATTTGAAATATGTAGTAGGTTCAGTGTGTACCGTATTTCCTCTATTAGACGCCCGGGCTTCTATTTGTTTCGGACAAGCCTTTGACCCGGCGTCAATTAGAGGCCCGGCTTCTATTTTTTGCACTGAACAATTGACCCGGCTTCTATTAGAGGCCCGGCATCTAATAGAAGAAATACAGTATTTATATTATATAGGTATAGGTAAGGTGAGGACAATATGTAATGCAGTGAGACCAGTGTTGCACATTAGTTATGTAATAATGCTATGATAAAGTATTTTTGGGGATGCACAGCTGCAGATGAAAAATATCAGTGTCTTAACAATACATACGGTAGTTCTAAATTTGTCTTGAAGAGGTACCTAAATATGTGTTCACACAATCTGAAGATTGAATCCTTGAGACCTTGATAAAAAGTGTGTTTTTTTGGAAAAGTTAACATAAGCTATTTTGTGTTTTGATACAGAAAAGATTTCCCCTGTGTTTAATGCTGTATATTGCTTGCTTTTGTTTCCTAAATTCACGAGTGGCAGATCTTTTTTTCTTCTATTGAAACAAAGTGTACGACCTGGTTAAAGGAGTAAGCATATACTCCAAAACGTTGTGTTCCTCATCATAAAGAAGTTGACATCCATATATTCCCTTCCTTAAAATGAAATGGTTTCTGTGTTTACTGCTAATGCAGATAAAAGATTTTCAGTCTTACCTATCAAACCAACAAGAAGCCCAAAACAATAGAAAATAGAGGCCCCCATGTATTTTTACAACCACAATATTTCTCATCATTGTCAGAAGAATATGCAAGATGAGGCAAGATAACATGGAATGTTTTATTTTTTTCCTATTTAATAGATGTAAGAATGCCCTCAGGGCTGAGATGGTTCCACAAGGGGATCATACCCGGTGACTATGACTATCGTAAGTTTCATGTTAAGATAGTTAAGATGGTCTTATCCCTTGAAGATTGCTTTGTGGAAGGGGCCCCTGTACAACAAAGCAGCCATGGCTATCATTATATGTTATTTGTGCAGGGGAGTCTTAACTTCGATCTTATCTGAGAATGCTAGACATTCCAATACTGTCATTTAGCTGTCAACTCATCATCACCTCACCGTTCAGTCACATGGCTGGGCCATTCTACACACTTGGCAGTCGTACACGCACATGTAGCCATAAAAATCTGACTACTTGTTATCATCGAACCACTTTGATCACTGACATTTTGTATACAGGTCCAACAGACCTGTTCTTCATTTGTATGGATATAGGTTTTTGATTACTTCTATATACTGGCTCCAACTTTCAGTGCTATTGCTATTATGTGGACTGTAAAGCCAGTATGCAACCCACCAATCAAACTGCCATAGTGTTGTGACCTTATTTAAGTGGGCTTGACGCTATTGTGTGTTAATGTTGGCGCATGTCTTGCTTCAGTTACGCACTGTATTGAACAAATAAAGATTATGGGATCCCATGAAAGAGAGTTGTGCCATTGCATACATTAGGCAGAAGGAAACAGTTCAAACCTTTTGTACATGTAGGTTTTAAGCAAAGGTGACAAAATTTTGCTGGGTCAAGGGTGTTATGGAATGTCCTGGCTTCATTGTATGTAAATGGTTATTTGAAATACATTGTACATCTTAGATCAGGGTTGACTATTGGTCTGGAAATCACTATTGCGATAACTATTGATGTTGAAAGAAAATATTGCAATAACTATCGATATTGCAAGCAACTATTGCGATAAATATCAATAGTTTTCAGTGTATCATTTTAGATGGATTTTTCAGTTGATTGTAATAACCATAACAACAAATACAAAAGTAAAGTTTGAGATATGACTGATTTGTTTTTTCTTTTCCATAATATTCTAAGTAAAAGAAAATTCCACATTACCATACTTGTAACTTACTACCACTCATGATCCAAAGAAAAATCAAATTTGAACAGCATTGCGTGTATTTTATTGATATGGTAAATACAATCGAAACTATCAATATTCCTAACTGAAATCGATACTATTGATCGGAAACTGATTTAACAATCGATTTATTGACTTTAAGTGCTTGTAACCAATAGCAATATATCGATATTTCGATTTATCGTGACACCCCAATCTTAGATATATGAATTTACATTTTGGTAAATATTTTGAGTGAATGAACAGCTAGTGTCAAAATAGCACATAGTCACATGGCTAGATTTAGTCTCTCTCACGGTACCTGAACTGTATTCATTTTTTGTGTGTATTTTGAAGTTCAAAATTTGAACCCTTCCGCACTGTTGCCCTAAATGAAGCAAGTCAAGATTTTGATCCTCCATCTCACTGGGGCTCCTTCTCAATTTGTTAGTTTCTATCAAACTTGTATATTTTCAGAGACTAAGTTTTAGTGAAGGCTAGATTATGCGCTTGAGGTGTCCAGAGTTAAATGGGTCACCTGAGTACTCTGTGCTTGTTGAAAGAGCTGACCAAGATGGCTGCAGTATGCCTATGCCTTTGCAGCTATATACCTTTGCTGATTTGGGGTCATTTGACTGAGATTGCATCGATCATTGCTCTCCTGTCAACTAGTTTGTCTGGTCCTTATAAAATCATTTGCAGGCCCTTTGATGTAGCTCAGATATTGGTGTCATTGAATATTGCAATAAATGCATTGTAACAAGTTAAGGTAATACAATATTACAAATTTTGATCTAAGAATCGTGCCTGATTTGATAACTGTAACAATCAAGTATTAGATTGTTTAAATGCATTGAGAAATACAGTCATTAAATTATTTTGGTTTGCAACATCATTCTGAAAGTACTCTCACTCAATCGCTCACATCAATCTTGTTGAGATCGGTCTACTGACACTAGACAAATAAATCTAACCAATCATGCACTTGCAAAGATTCTTAAAATATTTTTCATCAAAACTATTGACACAGATTCTTCCTTCTTTTCAAAGGCAAACTGTGGTTGCAAGTGTTAGCTGCTAGTCTGTTTTCCTCAGGCCAAGTTAATACCTGAGGCAGGGAGGACTATTCTGACCAACTTTTTTGTTATGTATCGCCTTGCTCCATACCACGCAACTAGTCCATTGAAAATATTTACACAGGATTTACTTGGATTCATCGTGGGTGGGGCTCTTGATTTAGATTGGCAGACTTGCATACCCTGTTCTGTCCCTCTCCCTTTCTTTCCTGATCCGATTGCAAAATATGACCTGGCGCCCTGTCCTTTTATCTATTGAAACTGGATAGCATCAGTAATTGTGGCAGAGGTTGTGGCTCTGTGCTGTGTGTCCCCATGAGATGAACCTATGCTTGTAATAATGTGTAGTGTTTGTATGTTGTGGATTATCAGTATCGTGACTTGTATGGGTCACATTACATGGTTGAGTGCCGTGTTGGTCATGTGTTGTCAATGGCACAAATGACATATATACATTGAAACGTGATGGAGATGGTCATTTATGGTATTGTTGACACAGTGTCGTAGCATAGTAGGGTATCAGTATACAAATCTTGTTTGCTAAATATCTTATTGATATTGGGGAGTGTACTGTAAATAATGGTAATGCCAGTAACTAGCTCTCCAGTGTTGGAGTGCTTTGTGTCCATGCTGCAGTCTAAGGTACCTTGGACACGGGTGGTCCAGTCGTCTAAGGAGCCATGATTTGTTGCGTTCCTTGGGCATGCCAGAAACCTATGCTTGTGGGTTCGAATCCCGGTTCACCCCGATTATGTTTTAAGGTTTGTCAGCACCATACCCGCGCCCTCGTGGGTTTCACCGAAGTGGTAAACGTCTGAGACCTGCATCACTTCAGGCTTTCCTCCAAAATAAAGCTGACGTGCCATGATATAACTGGAATAATGTTAAAAGCGGCATTAAACTCAACTCACTCACTCACTCACTCTAAGGTACCCATCTTCCTTCATGGAAAACTTCTGGAAACTTTAACACAAGATATTTCAACAGTTTTTTGATATTATATTAAGTGCAACATATCAATCATTATGTAAGAAATAACTTAAATACTTAAAAAAGTATTTGCTTTTTTGTTGTAACATAAGTAATATATTTCAAGTTTGAATAGCAAACAAAATGTGGGGTGGTGGGGTAGCCTAGTGGTTAAAGCATTCGATTGTCTAGCCAAAGGCCAGGGTTCGATTCCCCACATGGGTACAATGTGTGAAGTCCATTTCTGGTGGCCCCCTGCCATGATATTGCTGGAATATTGCTAAAAGCAGCGTAAAAACATACTCACTCAAACCAAAACGTCACTTACTCATCTTACTGGTATCATATTATACTGGCAATTTAAACTTTATATTGTTAAGTAGGTAAGCATATGTTCCAACACCAGGTTTTACTTTTAAAGTTGAGAGATCCAGCAGAAAGTTTGGTACCTCAAGACTCACATAAGGCACTGTTGTAGGGGTATTATATTACAATGTTTATAACATCAGTCACCATATATGATATTAATCAATATTAGCCCACCATTCAAAATTGCAAATGTATGTCAGGTTCCTGATCCTAACATTGGAGCCTTTCTTTAATAGTAAGTTTATGACTTCATTCAATACTACAAGATAAATTGTTGTTGAATGTTGTCTTGATCCAATTAATCAAATTCATTTATGATTGATTCACATTAGTTGGCAAACAAGAATCAATCAGACATCCTGTAATCAATTTTTCTACAATTTGATTAGTTCATAACTCGTTTGGGGGGTTCGGGGGAGGGCATTAACATCCAGTAAAACATGTATAAACACACACTGAACATAATTTTCTATTTCATTTACAAGGTTACAGTAAAGATACAGAGACACAATTCTGTATGTTTATGATTGTCCTATACCATTGATTATTTCTTCAAACCCAAGGATAAAACCAATTTTTACCAATTCACAACTCAAGGTGATGTTGGTTTGTTAATATTTTATTGAACTATTGTGTAAACAAGAGGATATAATGGTAAATCATCTTGGTCTAACCAGTAACTTTATAACTAGATATTATTACTAGTGACTGTTTAATGGCTGTTGAAGGTTGAATGAGGGTTACTTACAATTTAAGTATTTATTTTGTGCAAATAATGACAAATCTGATGTTCTTTCAGTATGATCACCTCTTGTTGAGGTATTGTTTTTTTAGTTCATTGTATTACTTGTTAGGCACCGCCTCCGTGGTCTAGTGGTAGAGCGTCTGCCCGGAGAGCGGAAGGTCCGGGGTTCGATCCCCGGCTGCGTCATACCAAAAGATGGTACTTGTTGTTACCCTGCCTGGCGCTCAGCATTAAGGGGCTAAAACAAGGACTGGTCGGCTCGGAGTCAGTATACTGTGTCTGAGTGGGGTATTCATGTTAAACTGCGGCATGGTATCTCAGTGAGCTAGCACTATAAATCGGCATCAGTCCGGACTAGTACAAGCAGCCACACAAACACACACACATACATGCACCTTGCTGTATAGGTGCAATAATCTTGGACGCGACGTTAAACCCCATTTCACCTCACCTCACCTATTACTTGTTACTGATGTACTGCATTACCAATGCGTAATTTGTGACTACAAAATGGCAGCGACTGACCATTCTGAGTAATAATTACTTTAGCATGTAGAAAATAGGATCTGCAAGTACAATCTGTGTCAATCACTATCAAACGCTGTAGCTCCCATTATATTGCAATACAGATAGCTGTTTCTCAATTTATTGCAATACACTGTTTTGCCAATACACAGCCGTACATAAGTCAGGGTAATTGTAATATAGACAAGGTAGTAAGCTTCAGTTGGCCATCTGTATGTCTGTCTTATCAAACCGTCATCAGGATATGTGGAAAGTATGTGAAATATTGTTCTAATGAAATTGCTTTGTGTCTTATTTGTAAAAGATGAAAATGAAGTTTGAAAATTATTAATATCATCATGATCAGATGTCCCTTGTTTTCTGAATCTGGACCCACAATGTTGTTAATAAGATGAAACCCAAATTTAACATGTTTTCTGAAGTTTGCAAGGGTCAATGTAGATATTAATTATTTTTATCTTTACAAGTTTTCGTGTTTCCCTTTTCAGACTGGATCTGGTAAAACATACACCATGGGAACAGGATTTGACGTAAACACTGACCAATCGGAAGTAGGCATTATACCCCGAGCTGTTGATCATCTTTTTCAAGGAATTGAATCAAGACGCAAGGAGGCTTTGGCCAATGATGAACCTCCCCCTGACTTTAGAGTCAACGCACAGTTCATGGAGGTAAGCAGACTAGACAAGCATTTCTCCGGTCTCCTTCTGTCCTATCTTAAAAGTTGTGAATGAGCTCTATGTTCAGTGGACTGCCTCTGTGGTTTTATGGGGGCGATGGGGTGGCCTAGTGGTTAAAGCGTTCGCTTATCACGCCGAAGACACCAGTTGCATCATACCAAACAATGTTAAACAATTGTACTTGTTACCCTGCCTGGCGCTTTGCATTAAGGTAAAAAACAAGGTAAAAACATTATAAAACAAGGATTGGTTGGCTTGGAGTCAGTATACTGTGTCTGAGTGGGGTATCCATTGAACTTTGACATGGTATCTTACTAAGTGGACTAGCACTACAAAACCAGCATTTTTCTGTACTAGTACAAGCAGCCACACACAACACACACGCTGTAGCACATCGCTATAAGTGCAATAATCGAAGTTAGATCCCAATACACTTTGTCAGTTAGGTATCTGTGCTGTATTTAGCACAAATGGTTTCTTTCCATAAGTCATAGTTTTAACTCATAGTTGCTGTGACCTAATGTTTTCCTTGCAACAAGTTATTGTCTGTGTAAAACATGAGGTTTGCTCTTGTGGCATATAGCTATTGCAGAAATGCCTACCATTACGCTTTTGAGCCTAAACTTATGCTATTGAGCTTGTCCTCTCCATATTGAGATTTTGGACTTTTTTTTCTCACAAATTATTTACATGTATAAAATATCATGGAGATCAACTTGTTATTGTCCCGGTCATGTGAAGCATTCTACAGGGAACTAATTGCATGTACACTGATATTTTTCGGAACTAGAAACATGTCATTGTCTTTCTGCAATACAGTTAATAATGTATTGTCACATGATACATTTTTTGAATGTGTGGTGCTTTGACCACATGTTTTGGCAAGAATGCAGGATACTGGACACATTCCGCAAATGATGTCGGCGCCATTTTTTTGTGGCATCACTAAAATACCAGGGTGAGAAGGGTTTGCTTCCCCCCAAACAACAGCTTGAATTAAATACTTTCGTAAGTAAATGTAATTTTTAATTACCAAAGTTGTACAAAATACAATGTGTTTGTTGAAATGTGGCCCCTATGTACGGGACTGATGAGGTTGTCGAATGCCGTTGCCCTGTTTTTAAAATAGTGATGCTGTCACGTGAGGCTACATTACTAGCATCAGTGCAGGTGTTCCCATGCTTCATGTACGTCTTGGCCTAACAAAAATGACGAAGCGAAAATCAGCATCATGGCATGGTACTATTAACATTACTCTTTTTCACATGAAATTACATTTTTTACCCCCACTGATCTCTCCAAGGCTTTAGTTAGGGTTGGCATCTCTGCTATTACAGTAAAATATAATTTAGAGCCTAAAAACATCAGACTTTTTCCTTTAAAAAGAAGTATTGTCATCATCCAGATTTGTTCAAGGGCAGCTGCATTCCTGATTGATGGGGAGTTATTTGTGATAAAACACATATACATGTGAATTTTGAGATAAATAGCATAGACAAAAACATTTGACAAAGTAGTCAACTGATGCAAAGCCCATTCATTTCTGCTGTCACCCTGCCATGATATGGCTGGAATATTGCTTTAAGCAGCGTGAATTTTACCCTACTCTCAATAACAACAGTTGAACAGCCACACGAAGCCATAACCTTGATATGCTCTAAGGCTTTATTTAGTATTTTGAAGTGTTCTTCGTGGTGTAATTATCTGCATGATTACACTGGTTTTCACAATGGTTTCAGAGGAAAGATTATATTATCTAAGATGACAAAGCACTTTTTAGTATTTTTATTTTATTGAGATAAAGTTTTGAAGCAGGCCTTATACCTATGTGAAATTGGCAAATTCATATACCGGTCGGTAAGAAGAAAAACGAACCCTTTTCTTTGTTATCATCAATGTTAGTCAGTTTAGATAATGTCATTGTTCCAAATAAGAAAGAAAATCTAGGGGTCCTTGTCTTGACCCTAAGTTATCCCTAAGACTCGAATACTACAGCAAACAAATCAAGTATCAAGGAATCTACCCCTTAATTTCTAAGACTTTATCTATTCTTATGGCTGGATTACCTCCACATTCATACAGGATATTATTGAAATAATTTCAGTATTATGTGTGATTTTGATTAAATATTTAAACTTGACCTACTTCACAGCTATATAAAATATGGTATATGAGAAGTACTGTCTTGAATATTGTATGATTAACTATGGTATGCTGTTGGTTTGGATTTACAGCAAAAAGTATTTTCTAAGATGCCTTGCCTGGACAACAGCTGTTCAACATCTGTAGCTTTTCAGTATTGAATTGTTGTAAAAGATAAATGATTTACAGCCAATCAATTTATTACTCATCGTAGACAGATGGATGGAGGGATGTTGCTGCAGCAGCTGTCATGTAATCTGTTGACATTTTCACAGGGGTATCATGTACATCCCAACACAAGACTGTGGGATTATACTCACCTGTGGTGAGATGGACACCAGGTTGTGTGAAAGATGAGTGTCAGATACCCGGTTGAAGGTCCTGCTGGAAGGAGAACACAGTCTGGTGTCTCTTGTTATATCCAGTGATAGTTGGTACATCAGCAGAACTTCGTAACCACCACCGCTTTTAACATTAGGTAGATGTCGCCATAGATGGCAAGTCTGTACTGTATATTTTTTGCAGATTTGTGAAAATATATATTAAGTTTTGACTGATCTGCGGGTGGTGATTCTGTCACACTGGGTTTGAACGTCATCCCCTGCACTGATGCAGTCTGTAAGTCACTGACTGATAACTTTTAAAGATTTCTTAAATTCTTTATCTACACTGTCTACACTGATTTATATGTAATGTAATATTTTCTAGTCTTTAACAAATCTTCTGAACCATCAACGAACTGGCCATTTAAACATTTTCCCAACCTTTTGTATGAGGCATGGCTGCAAATTTGCAAAACTCAGTTGCCTTGCCTATTCTTATTGATCCCAGAATGATCATGGGACTATCTATCCTGTGTGTTGTCAACTCAATACTGGATGAAACAATCTTCTAAGATTATCAGTGTGAGCTAGCTGTCGAAGGTATTTACCTTGCAGACATTAATTAAACTTGGTAATGGAAGTAGTTACTGCAGATCTTGCCATTGTAGTTAATACTAGTTCGTTCGTAAAGTGCTATAAATTGTTCACACACGACCTTATGGACAGCCTTCTCAGAAACATGAAATTTTATCACGTTATAGCACTTATTCGGACAAAATGTTATCCTTAATTATTTTATGGGTCAGATTTAAAAAGATTCATAGTTTGATTTTTAGCTCACCTGACTGAATGTCAAATGAGCTAAATGTCATGCCCTGCTTGCCCCAGCCTCGTCAACAGCATTTGTAAACTTCTTCTCCTCAGAAACCACTTGACCAATGAAGCTGAGACTTCACCTGCTTGTTCCAATCAATGACGTCCCAATATGTTCAAGAGGTTTGAATCAGATTTTCAATATGGTCGCCATGGTGGCCATGTTGAAAAAGCCTTTCTTTTTTTTGTCATTACTCAGCCATTTTTGAACAAAATATCATGAAATTGGCTATTTGTTTATTTGTCAACACATTAAAGTTTTAAATAATTGAGCTTGTTTTGACCATGGTCTTACATTCTCTCAAAATCATATAAACCTAGGGCTTCTTCCCTTCTGAAGTTGCCTGAAGGAGTAAAACCTTTATGATGACATATTTGCTATAGATCATTAGATTTAAATGTTAGTTTTTAGAATTTATTTGGATATCAACGGTTAAATGGCTTTCTTTGTGGACATAATTGTTGACTACATATTCCAGGTGAGCTACCAGGCTGTGGCACTATTATTTTAGATAGCCGAGATCTTTTCAGTAAAACTTGTCAATACATCTGTTGCAGGAGAGAGTATCCTGAAGATTGTCAGTATAGAATTGATGCAACATGTTGAGGCCTGCATCTGTTGCAGATGCAGCCACTTTCACCAAGTCAATAATTGATAAGGTCACACTTAGGGGATTGTTGCAGGTTTGAAGACAAAATCAGACTTCCTCTATTGACTTTCTATTTTGGTTTTCTTATGGGGGAATGTCGACATGCAAATACACCCTCCAGTGCAGTGATGACTTAGCATTATACCACTGCCACAGGCTAGTTTGCATATCATGTGATCAGACTTTTCTTTTGTTTGTGAACATACATGCTAATTCTGAAATTAGTGCACTACAGCCTTATTAAATTCTTTGAGTGCACTTCACAGATTGTTTTGCACAATTGTGAAGATATCTTTAGACAGTAGCAACAGTGAGGTGCATGCCAATATATCTCTCTACATCACAGTGACCGTATCACTAGGTCTCACTGGGGCTTCAACAGCAGCACGTACACCTGTACAGCCAATGTAAACAAAGGATAAATACGCAAATGGAAATAGTTTTTCATGTTTTAGGATATTTCCTCAATGAATGCTAACCATTCTATGATATGTTTATCTAAATGTGTAGACTCGTCAAAAATGAAACAGATGAAAAACATTTCACAAATACTACCATATCGCTGGCCTGTGGCAGAGGACGTACTAGGATGGCTACATGGAACTCTGGGTAGGAGAGTCATGCAAATACTGATGTCATTGAAATTGAAGTTAATGATTGTTTGGGGGAAAAGACGTTTGATTGTTCTTTTGAACAAGTAATGACAACATAGAAAGGGTTTGTTTAAGCTTAAGTCCAGTAAAAATCTGTTCAGTCCAGTAAGCACAGCCAATACTAGTCCATGTAAAAACACTAAAGTTTATTGAAAAATGATGTGAGAGCCTTGTTTGGGCTATAATAGGCTCAAATGGTTTTTGATTTTTGTTTTTTACAAAGATATTAGTATTTATGATCTAGCAATAATGACATGTTAATCTTTGTTTATTGTTTATTACGAAACTCTTTTTTGATGTTGGTAATTGCAGTGTATGATAGTATGTTCAGTTTTCGATTTTTCATTTAA